ATGCTTGGTTAAGGAAAGATCTTCAATTTCATCTACCAAGTGCTTTACCTAGGTCTACTGAACATCTTGCAGGCCAGCAATTGTTCTCAGCATGGCATCAGGGCAGGGGAGGAGGGATGAGGAAAAGCACTGGGTTTTCCTCATATGGATTTGTACTAATGGTGTGCACACACATACCAAAGCAATTAGTACTTCACATTCCATTTCAGAAAATAGAGGAGTGCCATCCCAGAAAGAGGCCAAGTTAAAATGGATTGGGAGTGAGACTCAGTTGTTTGAAACATCTCTCATATGAAGTTACTGATCTAATTTTGGACATGAAGCTTTATCGTCCTTGCTCTGGTTGCACCACATCAGGCCAGGTACCCAGTGGATAGAAGCCTTTGGAGTTCCAGGAGCTCTGAGCTCCCAGCATTCTGAAGGCAATCATCCCAGATGACTTTCCAACTTTCTGGACCCCATTTCCAGACTATGATACTCAGAACCACTTAAAGAAAAATGCCTTTTGGATAGAAAATAAGCTACAGTCATTGGGTGTGGGGTGTGGGGAGCAGCTCTCACCCACTGCCTGCTTCTCCCTGACACTTGCCCATGCAGCCCAGGGAAGTGATTAAACTCATGAGACAGCTAAGTCATTTCTCTAGATGAAGAGTTGTGTATGGAGCGGAACAGCATAGGAAGCCAAGAGATGCTTATCCGGGTCTATGAGCAACTGAACTCTTCCTTCCTGAGAAGCCTGGTAATGGCTTTCTTCATGGTAGAACAGCATAATTTCCTTTTCTCATCCTGAAAACTTCCTGGGAGCAGTGACCTCAACCATCAGAATAGCAGGGGAAGGGTTTCTGATAACAGGCAGAGAACACCTTGTAAAGTAGGGGAAACCCAGGAAATTACTGTTTCTCTTCAGGATCGTTGGGTGGCTGTACCTGAGGATGGGACAAGAAGTGGAAAATTCTGTGTCACCAGGCTGTGATGTGCCTACAGGTCACTTGGGCACTTAGTACAGAGCCTGATTCAGTAGGTGTGGGGTGGAGTCCACGGTTGTCATTTCTAGTAGGTTCTCAAGGATGCTGTTGGTCCCCAGACCTAAATGGAAGAAATTGTGGTTGGACCACTATTGAGAGGGAATGGATACAGAGCTCAGATAGGAGTAAGTGTAAGTAAGTCTGTGATTAGTCAGGGCATCCTGAGCTCTACAGGTTCATCATGTCACTTACAGCTCAGTCTGGTCTTTTGGCTTCCAGAGAAGCTTCTGGTCTCACTATGTCTGGTCCTTCATGGTTTATTCACATGGATCTTGATGCAAACTTAGAAGTAAACAGAGAAACAACAAAAAGTGCAATGTCTATGTTTTTGTCAACTTCCTTCAGACCAAACAAGGTCTGCTCAGTCTAATTCTAGTCCCAGCTCTGCTGCTAATAACATTTTGGATGTATCATGAATAAAAGACCAGAGACAGATATTAGGGTTCAAGCTTCAAACTGAAGATCAGAAAAGCAAAGCAGCCAAGTCACTGGATCTTACCTCTATCTCAGACTGAAAGGGTTGATTCTGCCTCTGTGAGCTCTCATCAAGCCTCAGACTTTAGCCTTTTCTCTGCTTGGCTGGAGAATGAATGCTAGCTCTGAGACCCTGTTCCTGTCTTAAATACCTCTCATGAGTCTTGGGATTAAAGGCATGAGCTCTCTTACTCTTTTAGATGGATTCAATCTTGTGTAGCCCTGGGTGGCCTTGCACACAGAGAGATCCATCTGCTTTTGTCTCCTGAGCCCTGTGATTAAAGGTGTATGCCACCATTGCCTGGTTTCTATGGCTAGCTAGTATGACTGCTTTGCTGTTTTGATATCTATTGGCTTTAATAAGTCATAAACAGTATCACCACAGTTGGATAATAGATAAATTGTTCCTTCTTCCTGGTACTCAGACTCCTTCTGTATTGTTTTGGAGGCTGTTGGTCCAGCCCGGCGTCGAACTCACAGAGATCCGCCTGCCTCTGCCTCCCGAGTGCTGGGATTAAAGGCGTGTGCCACCTGGCTCAGACTCCTTATCTTACAGTATCAAAATTAGGTGCTTCTCAGGAGCCAACCTGCCCCAGTGTATGTCTGATTTCTCTGCCTTTGCAGAATTAGTAAAGCGATCACTATGTAATGAGTTAGGCAACAAACTCCTTTGGTGTGGCAGTTGATAGTGTGCTGTGGGCCAGAAATGGTGGTGATGGGATCAGAGAGTCCTATATGAGCAAGAAGGTTATGAGTTGAGTTGGCTCTTCTTAGAAGAGCTAACAACAGTGGAAGAGCTCGAGGAAACTATAGCTCAGCATGGTGTAGTTGGGACACTTAGTGTAGAGGCAAATGGCTTTGTAGACTGAATAACATCCCAGGTTGTCTGTGATAATGTGGTACATTCATGTAGCCTTCTACAGTTTCTTCAGGACTGACACAGGCGTTGTGCCCTTGGATCCTGAGAACAACTATAGTGGGTAGAGATGGGCACTGCCTAGTTTTGCATATGAGTTATTTTCAGAGACATTTATAGGCATGCCAATGATAAGAATCTTTGTCTTCCTTTCCATGCCATCATACCCGACACCAGCAGAGCCCACAGTAAGGATGGGGTTGCCATCTATGGCATCACCAACAATGGCTAAAGTAGGAAAAGTTTACATTTAGAAAGCTAAAGCTCAGTTATCTGGAAACTTTACTCAGCCTGAACATTTGCTTGATTTCAGACAAAAAAGCATAAATGAGGCATTCTGTACCTTGTGTTTGCAATCAGTTACAGGCTGTCCCCAGGAAGAAGCTATCAAGCACATACAACCATACCCAATAAATCACATATTCAAGTATACACAATAGGAGACGATTTAACACGTAGTAAAGATGCATGCCTGCCCCCTAGCTGGAGGGAGAGTCTACCTAGAACAAGAAGAGTGTATCTTGTAACCAGGTGTAGACTTGGATGGCCCAAAGGACCCATTCCGTCTGTAACGAGAATGGTAAAGACAGTGGCTAACGTGATTGATTGTTTGTTCTCCGACAGGCAGTATGAGAAGAATTCTGCATGTAGTAATTTACTTAAGCTTTATAAGTACCCTGGGGTAGGTACAGCTCTCATTCCTGTTTCTAAAGATGAGAAAACTGGCAAGTTGTGAGTGAAGTGAGAGTCTCACTGTTGTGAAGGTGGGCAGATTCTGATGTGTTTGTGGAGGGACTAAATTCTATTTGGAGCTTGAGCAAAAGGTGACTCCCGAGGCCTCTGGTTTCCTTCTCTCATCTTTTCTCCCTCTTATACTCTTTCTTCTCTCTTTTTCTTGTACATCCCGTGAGTTTTGGCTATTTCCAGTAAGTATGCATAGTTCTGGAGATACAAAATTGGGGAAACCATATCCTCTTCCAAGGAGAGATATAAAATCTGCAAATGGGAGAAAAAGGATATGAACATTAGTAGAAGTATGATTACTCTAAGAAAGAGTGAGCATTATAGTAGAGCTGAATGTGGTACCCCTGTATTGAGTAGGGGACAGCAGAGAATGACTGTAAGAGACAATGGTGGGATAATGTCAAAGGTTCAGTAAGCAGCATTGTTACTGGGTCCATGCTGTACCTTGGCAGCCTTACTCATGGTCCCTCTTTGGATATCTGTACAAAGTCCTCAAGTATCTTCCATGTTGGAGGAACTGAGCCTAGGACCTCCATTGGTTGTGGTGTTGCACACATGCATGCGGTTGGAACCTGATAAAGGACTGTGCTTAAAGTGAAAATGGACTGAAATTGTCAACTTTTCATAAGAGGGAAGGGTAGGAAAGAAACAGAATTCCATCTGGAGTTCCCAGGGCTATGATTAAAAGACAACGTTGCTTGCAAATTTCAGAGCCTTTTATCAGTCAATTAATTCACAGATGTTTCTTAAGCTCTCAGAAGAACTAAGCCACTGTTTTAAATACCAGGGGAGAGGACGGAGAGGTCGAATGCCAGCCCCTCCCACAGAACCCTGAAGTGTGTCTGGGTACAAGGAACAACAGATGCATTGCCAGGTAGACAGACAGTTTTAGTACTGTTGAGTGTACCAAATGCATAGTGAGAAGTGTACAGTTGAATCCAGAGTGGGAGATCGGCATGGGTCTCTGGTCTGGCAGACAAGACAGGCTTCTTGGAGGTGGTATACTTTGAAAGAATAGCACAGAGGATAATTTGGATTGAGTGACTGAGAAAACCATTCCTGCACCTTCTCAGTGATGTGTAAAGATGGACTGTCTCTTCTCCTGGATCATTTAGGAAGTTCCGGTGCAACCCCACCTCCAGTGTGGAAAAACAGGCTGGGAATGAAGGATTAGGATGGATGCTCAGAAAGGACAAGGAGCCTAGAGGGCAAAGGGTTTTCTCATTTGCAGAACTACAGAGGATAAATCCACCTGGGCTATTTCCAGACCAGAACAAAGGAAATTTCTTCCCTAACTTCATTGCTGAAATGGTAGGAACACAAGTCCGAGGGAAGACCACTTGCTGGCCCTGGTGTGGCAACAGGTCCTTATGCCCTCTTTTCCCATCTGTTCTTCCATTTACCCCCCTCCCGCAACTTCCCGCCACTCTCTACATGTTTGCCTGGGTGACTATCTCGTCCCATTCCTTGTTTCCAGAAATTCTCCTGACTCCTGTCCACTGGCTGTCGTGTGATTCTCCCCATTGAGAGTACCCCTGAAACACAGACTATCCTTGGCCAGTCATTAGCCATCTGATGATGTCTTCTCAACCATCTTTAGTCCCAGAGTGGGCTGAGCCAACATCTTAAATAGTTCTTCAAGTGCATGCACCTGCACGTGTGGGTGTTATGGTTGGTTTTAGTATCAGCTTGACACAAATTAGAATCACCTGAACAGGAAACCTCAGCTGAAGGGCTATTATGAACACCTTAATTGATTGAGAAGGCTCACCCTGATTGGGGGGTTGCCTCTCTGCTCAGATAAAAGGGGTGTGGCAGAAAGAACATACCTTATCTTTTGCTTACCTGGGCTTCCCTCTTGTTTCCAGTTGATCTACCCTGCTGCTACTGCTGCTGCTGCTTCCTTTGCTGATAGCAGTACCAACATTTCCTAGCTTCCACTCTAAGAACCAGTGACTTTCCAGGAACTTTCTAGATTTTCAGAACCAGACTGGGATTGCTGAGATACCCAGCCTTGTGCATTGAGCAACTGCCATGTTGAGTGTCCCCAGTGAGAGACAGTCACCGTAGGACTGTTCCAACTGCTGAGGCTCCTAGCATTAAGGACTAAGCTATTGCTGGCTTCTCAACACTCAGGGTAATTCAGTGCTGTTGTAATCTTAATGTGAGATGACTGTGTGTGTGTGTGTGTGTGTGTGTGTGTGTGTGTGTGTGTATTCATCCTGTTGGTTCTTCTAGAGAACCCTGTAGTGTAGGTGTAAACATGCATGCATGTAAACATGTGTGAGGCCAGATTCAACACTAGCTCTTCATCAATCACATGTATTTCAGTTTTTGAGATAGTCTCTTTCTGAACTCTGAGCTCCTTGATTCAGCTCTACTTGCTGGCCAGCTGATCCCATGGAATCCCTCTGCCTCTCCCTCTCTAGCACTGGGATTATTGGCATGTACAGCAACCTGACTTTTTACATGGACTCAGTGGATCCGAACTCAGGTCCTCATGCTTGCATGACAAATACTTCATTGAGCTACCTTCTTAGATCTTTCTTAGATTTTTTTCCTTCTCAGCTCCTTCATTCCTTTTTTTTATGGTGCTAAGATATATCTCAGGGGTTGAAGAAACATGAGGAGTTTTGAAGTGAGTGTAGTTTGTTTGGGGAAGTAAGAGATCATTCTAGACTTTCAAGGTAAAAGATGGTATTGCTGGACTTTTGGACAGATGGTCCCTGGGCCTTTCTTTTTCATAGAATTTCCACATTTCCTTTTAGTCCCTAAGTCTCTCCTACTAGCTCCTGTTTCTCTTCCTTTCACCTTTGTGGTTATGATTCATTCAGTAGGTTTCAGAGGCTAGGTCTTAGCCTCACCTCTGCTGTATGGAGGGTGGGCTGTGGCATGGAATGGTATCCCTAGTCTTCCACTGCTCCCAGGATCAGTGTGACACTGCTATTCTGGTCAGAGCACAGAGCTCAAGTGTATGCCCCTCTTCTCTCCACGCCTGAATGGAACCTCAGGACAAACCCTGTGACTCGGGACACATTTCCAGACCTCCAGGTGCCTGGTTCTTCATGTTTTCATGACACGATTAGGGCTGAATGTTGTCCCTTCTCCTGGTCTGAAAGGAAATGCAGGAGTCCACTGGGTTCCTGATAACTGCTCAGATCTAGCTTCTAGAGGGCAGAGAAGGGCAGGGGAATGGGTGGGGGTGGGGTTGAGAGGGAAGTTCCTTCTGCAGGGGCGCAGAGCCTGGGTGGGTACATAGATGGACTTGAAGGAAGGGAGGGTGTGGGTGGGGGTGTCTCCCTCCTCTGTGTAATAGCCCATTTCTGGCAAGGAGCGTCTGTTCTCTTCTACTGGAAAGCTTTTAGGAACGCTGAAAAGGACAGGCAATTACAGGGAGGTTAGGTGCGCCTGATTGGATGTTGTTACAAATCACTCATTGTCATACAAGGCATTTGGAAAGGAGGCCATCGGGGACTGATTGCCGCGTAGGGTAAGTGATTTCTGTTTAGAGTGACTGAGCAGATGAAGGCTTGGCTCGTGCTCATTGCCCTTTCTCCCTGTTTGCTCTTGCATTGTTTTCTTTTTCCTTTTGGCAAGAGGTGCTCAGAGGATATGAGTGTGGAGGGGCTAGATAATCCACTCCCCTGCTACCCAAACCCTCCTTCATAGCATACCTGGGGTGTAGACAGAGGGGCGTGTGAAGGTGCTGGGCTAGCAGCCATGTTCTGGCTACAGGCTAGTATCCTTGCTCGCAGCTAGGCACCAAGCTGATGCTCGACTGTGACTGGAGGTTTCCATTAATCCAATGGCTGTGCAGGATAAGCACACTCCGTGTAGCAATCCCTGTTTCAGTTGCCAGCCTACAGTCTCTTCCCCTGGATCCCTTAACATGTCATTCCTGGAGCTTCTATTTGACTATGAGATGATCCCAATAGGCCAGAGAACTAGCCAGACTAACTCAGTGTCTCCAGAACACCTCCACAAGACCTCCTCCATTGTTGTGTCTGAAACACTATTATAATGGGGAAATGTTCTTGAACCTTGAAGTCTGTTTCACTTTCACTGACACAGGGATGGATTCCCTGTAAGACACTAGGAGACACTACAGTAGAAGGAGGAGGAAGTCACACAATGGGAAGGAAGATGATAGAGAGAGACTATCAGAAATCAGATCTGGGGAATCCATAATTTGATCTGACAGTTCTTCCCTAGGATTTTACTACAATAAAAATAATGCAGAGAGTGGTCAAAGGGCATCTGATGGGAGCCTGCCAGCCCCAAGGATGCTCTATGGTGAGTTGAATTACATCTCCCCCAAAGCTACACTGAAGTCCTAACATTAGCTAGTTTTCACCACTATGACAAATACCCATGACAAACAATTTAAAAAGAAGAAAGATTTACTTTAGTCCACACTTTCAGGGTCTCAACTCATGATTGACAGACTCCATTGCACTATGTCTGAGGAAGGGCAGAACATTACAGTTATGGGCAAGGCTATTTACATCATGGCGGCCAGGAAGCAGTGCGGGCCTATCAAGCACTTGACACTGGGCCCTGTGCTACAGACACCATATTGATAGTAGTGGTCTGCACTGCCACCTGGGGCCATGTTGATGTCCATGGGATGGGTTGCCTCCACAGGCCTTGCCAGGGTCAGTGATCCTCCTGTGGGCAGGGGACATGTTGTGGTCTGTGCTGCTGTGAGAAACCATGTGGAAGCCCATGGTCCATGGTCCTGCTGATTGCAAAGAGCAAGGGTACTTGAGCAGTGATATCGATGACTGTAGGTGCACAGCTGACAAGAGGGATGTGGAACCCATCCCATTCCTCATCTCCCCTCACTCCTAGGTAATAGCTTAAACAGGAAGACATCGAAGAGGACTCTTCAAAAGTGTCACAGGGATGCTGAAGTGTAGTTTCCCACAACTGTTAGCTTCCAGCAGAGGTGCAAGAGAAGACGGACTTAGTTCTATTTAAGGGACGAATCACTGAGAGTTTGACCATGCTCCATTGAGTATATAGACAACACAGATTGGACTTGTAATGTTTTCGTTGTGGGGAGGTCACAAGGGTAGGAGAGGGGCAGACATGGAAAGACAGGAAGAGAAGATGATCAGGGTATATAAAGTGAAATTCCCAAAGAATCAAAATATTGTGTTGAAAAACTATTTATTTCCATGACAAAGATAGATAATGAACAAAACATAGGTGCTATTTAAAAAAAGACTGCTAAAATGGAGGATGATGGTTGGGAGGCTCCTTGTGTAGATGAGATTGATGTAGGTGATTGGGAAGAACTTGGCCATGCTGAGGTGAGAGGAAAATAGCTGGGCCACACAGGATGGTCCAAGAGTGGGAATAAGGCATGCCCCTAAAGTGGGAAAGACCAGAAGGAATCATGATATGCAAATGCCTTGTCAATGATGTGAACCTACATGGATAAACCATATACAGTCTCTTGATGCCATGTCTGTGGCAATATTTAAGTCTCTCTCTGTCCCTTGCAAAAAATGTATCCCATCCAGTCAAGTCTCTGGCTACTGTCATTTTCTAGTATGTGGGTAGCTGTGTGGAGGTATGTATTTATGGGATGTCTGTAGGAGTGCGAGCACTCTCTTACCCATGTGGGATCATGAAACTCCTGACACCAGCTCTCACTAGAATATGGCTTGTATCATTTGCCCCCAAATGAAATTAACTGCACTTCATAAATAGGCTCAGCCATATCTCCAAGCCAGGCACCAAGTGAATCTGGTTGGTTTTTCTGGCTCTGATTTTTCTGAAGACAAAAAGGTTCCAAAATGAGACATCTATATCCAAGGCTAATGGCATGGTGGAGCCTCTCCAAGAGAACTGATAAACTTCTCAGATGGACGGCAGCTAATCAGGAGAGACCAGCTCCAGATGTGCAATTTGGAGTTCACATGTAAGAGACACTCACAATGTAGAATATTCAGAAGTAGAACCCCAGGAAATTAAAGTCTGGGAGGAATTTCACTGTTGAAACAGACAGAATCCAGTCATGATCACCTTTCTTCAAGGACCTGAGAGAGCCAGGAGTCTAGCGTGCCAATTTTAGACAATAAAAGAGTATCTGAAACAATGCTTTGGGAAAATGAAATCAAGAATTCCTAGCCCGGCAAAGCTCTAAGTTCAGTATGTCCTCCAGGAACTTAGATGGGAAACTGAATCTTGGTGGCAGGGAGGTAGCTCATAATTGCACTCAACCATTTGATCACTGGATTAACCAGGGTTCGTAACTTGTCCTTCTTTGTATTGATAATAGGCATCCATACGAGTTGGCATGTTGCAGGAGCCTAAGGACTGGAGGAAACAGAATCAAGATTAACATATGAAGGGCCAGAGAGACATGGTTCAGACAGAAAAGGAACTTGCCTCTAAACCTGAAAATCTGAGTTCGATCGCTGGGACCCAAGAGGTGGAAGAAGAGAACCACTCTCACAAGTTGTGTATAAACCTCCATGTGTCTGACATGGCATTCAAGTCTATAACAGCACACACACACACACACACACACACACACACACACACACACACACACACACTAGCACATGCACACATAAACATAAGTTGAAACATTTATAAAAGATTAATAAATGAAAGAAAGCAGTTGACAAAGAACAAGAAAGGAAGAGAGAAAGAAAAAAGAAAGAAAGAAAGAAAGAAAGAAAGAAAGAGAAGAAAAAGAATAAAAGACTGGCAGACAGGAAACCTATCTCCACTTGGGCATGGGATTGGGCTATGTGCACCAAACAGCATGCTTGAGAAAGGGCAAAGTAAGTAATGGGGTGGATGCTACTTGTAGGGAAAAGGGGTGGCCAAAGAAACACACCCTGAGCAGAGTCAAAGAAAACACACTCTGACCCTGCAACCAGAACCAAAGAAATGTACCCTGACCCTGAAACCAGTGCTAAAGAAACACACTTTGTCCCTAGAATCAGAGCCAATAAAAGAAATACACCCTAGCCCTAAAATTGGAATCAAAAGGCTAGAAAAGACCAGTGAAAGAAACATACTTTGGCCCTGAAACCAGAGCCAAATCTGTCTCTGACCCTGAGTAGAAAACCAACCAATCTCTGAGCATGATATCTAGCCAATCTGAGCTCAGGGACT